CTAGTAATGCTGTGGAGTTGTATTTTGTCTCGCATCAATTATATCGTCAGTTATATCGTTATTGCAAATTTTCAAATATATATCGTGATAAATATTTTTGGCCATATCGCCCTGCTCTAATAGAGGGTGTATATCTCTCTGCAGGCCAGTCAGGTGGCAGCTTCCCAGCGCTCAGGCTCCAGTGCCATGTACATGAACCTGGCCCACATGCAAGCAGCAGCAGCTGGGGCCGGCGGTCTGGGCGGAGCTTCGGCCGTCAGCCCGTCCACCATGTCTGGTTCAGCCAGCGGAGCGGTGAGCTCCATGGCAGACCAGGCGAGCAGTCAGGCAGCAGCCAAGCTGGCCCTAAGGAAGCAGCTGGAGAAAACCTTATTGGAGATCCCTCCACCCAAACCCCCAGCCCCTCTCCTGCACTTCCTGCCCTCTGCTGCCAACAGTGAGTTCATCTACATGGTGGGCCTCGAGGAGGTGGTGCAGAGTGTGCTCGACAGTCAGGGTAAGTAAATATCAGATATTGGGGGAGGAAACATCTGCAGCAAATCTTTGATTTATACCTAACCCGTCAAATTGAACTGACAGACAAACCATGAATACGGTATATTTAAATAAATACGTAAGCGTTTGTGTGTTTGCACCAAACTCCTTTGGTTGTGTGAGCATGACCCAGAGACCATTTTGATAATAATTATAAAACTTTTCTTTGTGTGCTGACTAAATCTCCCCAGCAGGTGGTGCTATTGTTTCTTCTGTCCATACTTTGTGCATCGCAATAACCAATCAAGGCTTAGCAGAGCCAGAAGCAGGAAGTTCTTCTCGTATGTGCGGTCATGGTTGAGAAATCATTGTCCCTGAATCCAGCTCCATCCTTGTAGCACTGCCTTTTTACCCTGTCAGCCTCTAAAGGTCTGAATACAGGAGGCTACACCTGGCACCTGTCTGCTCAGCTGTGCTTGAATCACTAAGAGCAGAACAAAGTGCCTTCAGTTTGTGTCAGGAGTGCTGTGATGACTTTAAGGTTTAAAGTAAATTCTGGGTGTGCGTCTGCTCGAGCACCGCCTGTCGCTGTAGCTCTGTCATTGTTAACGGAGTCCTGTCTGTAGGTAAACTCAGAGGGACGCTCGCCCGTCTGGAGCCTTTCTTCTGCGCCCAGTGCAGAACTGACTTCACCCCCCACTGGAAGCAGGAGAAGAGTGGGAGAATCCTCTGCGAGCAGTGCATGACATCCAATCAGAAAAAGGCTTTGAAGGCAGAGCATACCAACAGGCTGAAGAATGCCTTTGTGAAGGCCTTACAACAGGAGCAGGTTAGCAGCTTATGTACCTGCATCATGCTGGCTGATTCTTACTCTCACTTAAGTTTGTTTATGTCACGAGATTGTGTGGCTATCACAATTTTACTGTCTAGCCACACAAAGTGTTGTCGTCCGGTGTTGGTAGCAAAGTGATAAATAAATAATAGGGACACGGTTGGGACTGCGTTTCATGTTTTTAAACATCCGAGTCACTAATGAGCACGTTGTTGTTCTGACTCAGCAGAGCCTCACCTGGCTTCACCCTAAAAAGCTGGTGTCAGCTAGCTAGGTTAACCCAGGGTTTTCACTGCATGGTCACATCACAGGGATGGCATTGGCAGCATCTGGATAAATAAGTCTGCTGTGAGCAGAGCAGCTGATTTTAAAAAGGAAGTTAAAAGTGCTCCAGAGCTTTTCAGTACTGAAAACCCTGAATTAGTGCTGAAGTTACTCAGATAAGATGTAATCCTGCTTTGCAGTCTCTTTGTTACCACACCTAAACTCCCAAACATAGCTGGGGTATTTGGTAGTGATTGTGGAGTCGTTGAATGTAGGTACATGGTGGCACCAATGCACAAGATTCCTGAATGTGGTTCTCTTGTTAGGAGATTGAACAGAGGCTGCAGCAGCAGGCTGCTCTCTCTCCCAGCTCAGTCCCTACCAACGCCTCCAAGTCTGACACCATGATCCGACATCATGCCCTCCGCCAGGTATGTTCCAGCAGAGAGTCCACTATTAACTTGGAAGGAATAAGGAGATGTATGGTGCTCGTGTGTATGTATTCCAAACCAAATGTGCTTCAAGCAATAACTAGCAAATCTCTGGTTCTTAGGCTCCCCAGCCTCAGGCCTCCCTGCAGCAAGGGCTGTCGAACTCGGCACGAGGGGTCCTGTCCAACTTTGCCCAGGCCTCCCAGCTCTCTGTGGCCAGCAGCCTCATGGGCATGACCAGTGCCAAGCATTGTGGCGGCAGCGGAGGCGGCAGCAACAGCAGCAGTAACAGACTGCAGCATGACAACCGTCGGCAGATCTACAACATCCCAGGTACCTACACCTTTGCCCTTTCTGCTTGATGGGTGAGGGTCCGTGTGTGTGTTTTGTTTCCTGCCGTGCATCTTAGTCAACATCAGCCATTCGTAGGTTTATTAGCTCCACCCAGGACGTTGTGTTTTGTCTTTCTGTCTGTAAACACGACAGCTCAGAAACTATGGAATGAATTCTGATAAAACTTTGCAGGGGTGTAGAGCGAAGGCGACAACCAGCCATTCAAATCAGCATCCACCAAGGTCTTTAACATTAGCTGAAGCAGAGACGTGGCTATCAGCAAGTCAGAAGGGCAGGACGAGTTACACTGTGGCTTTATAGAAAGCATATGATTGGGTGTTGGGGGGTGGAGGGGTGGGGTCGACTGATACTGCAGGAAGACAGAGGAGTATGTGAGGGTGGTGCAGAATATGTGACAGATTTAAGATAAGCCTGGGAACAACTCTGAGTGCAGTCTTGTTTACATGGATGTGAATGAGAGTGAGGCAGGTGTGACGGTAAATCTGCCAGAGAAGGTTATCTGGGGTCAATCATTCAAACAAACGGGAGAAGGTGAGGACGCAGATGTTTCGCTGTGTCCACCTCTGTATCGATGTAGATGCTGTTTCTTTACATTCAAAAAATTCTAGTAAACGTATAAAATAAGAAAATAAGGCTAGTTCATGTCAATAGCAACAAAACAAAAGGTCACTTACAAATGTTTGAGCCTTAAACTCTACAAAGTGCATCTTCTCTGAATGTTGTCCTTCTGCCTCCACAGGGTTAAACATTGCCTATCTGAACCCAGCGGCTGTCGGAGCCCATAAGAGCTCCAGCTTAGCAGACCGGCAGAGAGAGTACCTGTTGGACATGATCCCGCCTCGATCCATATCGCAGTCGATCACTGGACAGAAATGAGCCCTGTCCAGCTCTTGCCCCTTGAAGCCACCTTCATCTTCATACCTAAACCATACCGAAGCACTCCTAAATCAGTCGATACCCTCTCCTCTTCACCTCTCATCGCATGCAGTGCCTGTCCATGTGCCTACCTTAAACTGACCCATAAAAACCCCACCAAGTTGGACAAGGACTCTAAACGACCAGTGCATTTGACATGCTCTTAATATAGTAAAATCCTTCTTCTTCAGTCTATTTAAGAATTATAATTCCCCTTATTATAACTGGTGGTAGCATTATTATTCCCACAACTACCATATTTGCTTCTGTTACTATTACTCATTATGCTTTTTGCTTTTGATGGTTTGTTTTTCTGCTGTTTATCTTTGACTCTGGGTAGTGACGGCCTGTCGTTGTCGCTTTCTTTAGGCCAAGGTCATATAGGATTTTTTTTTCTTTATAATTTGTCCTACAGCTTAGCTGCGATTGTTGCTAGTAACAGAAGATCAAGATGATGCGTTCTGGTTGCTATGCAACTTACAAGCTTTGTAAAATAGTCTCGACTTGGATGAAACAGTGGAAAATCCCGATGGGTACAAAAACAGACAGTTTGAGGCTCTGCATGCTCTTGAAAAGAGGATGAAGAACCCATTTTAAAAATGGAAAAGCTGGAGGGAGGGAAGGAGGGAGCAGCAGAGCACCCACACCTGTACAATCTCCCTAAAAGGGCCTGCTTCACAGCGACACACAGCCAAAATTCTGACATGCTAAAGTTAAGTTTCAGGACAGCGCCGGAGATTCTGCCACCAACAGAGTTAATGAACTGGAAGCGAGCGACAGACAAAAGAAAATCCTATGTGATCGGTGTTCGGATAATCTTTCCTTTGCTTCCACCGTCGTTCACGAAAAGCTTCTTATCAGGTTCTTCATTTCAGATTGAAACAGTAACACACTTTTTTATGCTGGATGATACTTAAGTTGTACTAATCACGATGGACAGTCACAGCAGTTTACCATCTGCCTCTTCAGGAGACCAGCAGTCAGTCGAAGCTCCAGCGAGACGGAAGCTGACAGGCCGAGTGTGTCGTCTGTGTACCTGCCAAGTATCGGGGCTGCGGATGCTCTTCATTCAGACAGAAACCTGTTGGTCCCATCCCATTTCACTATTTGCCAGTGACCTACTAAACCACCTCACCCATACTCCCCACCCCAAACCTTCGGCTGTTCAGTATGCACAGACTGAACCCTTTCACCCCGCTGTTCCTCGTGGCATCGCGTGTTCTTTGAGAGAGCGAAAAGACCTCAAAGCTAAAGGTGGAAGCATATTTTGTGCGTCCAAACCACAGACTCTGTAACTACAAATCTGGGTTCTTCTTCTTTTTATATTTTGGTTTTTAGATTATTTTCTAAATGTTGTGCAACACCCATTCCCAAACCCTAACTACTATTCCCATCCCTACCTCATCCCTTTTTGTTTGTTTGTTTAAACTTTATGCGGCGTCTCCTAATAAAATGGTTGCGTACCTGAGAGGTACAGCTGCCGGAGACGATAATAATCAACATAAAACAGAAACTATTAAAATGTCTGTATGGATTATGTATAGATACCTAGCTTCAGAGAAAAAGGACGTGGATTTTATCTTTTAAGGAGAGGCATGGCTCAATCATCGTGTGTCTGCTCTGCACACACGTTTCCTCTCCAGAGGAGCACTGTGCATATTTCAAATTAGATGTTTTTGTATGGAGAAGAGTTAAGAGTGGCTGCGGTCTGGATGCTGGCTGACGGCTAACCAGAGCCCGGTGAGACGCTCCGATTTCACCGAGGTGTGTTTTGTGTTTCTCGTTTTGCTTTATTTACAGGCTCATGTTCATAATCCCCAAAAGATGTTTACATGCTTTTAATGTTCAAAAACACTTTATGATCCTGCACTTCTACAAATGCTCCGTTTGAGTTTCTGTCGCTTTAAAGCCCTCCTTCCAAAATTCCAACTCCACTCTTATTGGTCAGTTGTGATGACACAAGCAAGGCAAAGTTGGTGACATAGCTGAACACTTTGTGGGCTTCTTAACAAAGGCCTTACCTGAAGCCACCACAGGATGACTACATGTTGCTTCTATCCCTGAGGGCGCTCACTGAAGTCACAGCAGAGCTGACGTTGGTCTTGATGGCGTTATTTGTCACTACTTGTTCTGTTGTTGACAACATGAACAGGAGGAAGTCGATGAAAACAGGTTTGTGTGGAACGTCTCTTTGTTGAAACAGCTCAGTTAGCATGTTAGCATGACCAGTGCTAAATGGACTGGTAGCGCTTTTCTGCTCTGAGCGCTCAAAGCGCTTTACACAACTCGGTGATTCACACAAGCGCTGTCTGACTAACATTCACACACATTCACACTCCGATGGACGCATCGGCGAGCAACCTGGGGTTAGCAGACTAGGATCGAACCACCAACCTTCCGATCAGTAGGCCACCTGCTCTGCTGCTGGTGTGTCACCTCCAGTCATGCTCCAGTTGTTACTCCTTTGAAACGTGCACAAAGAAGTTAACACACTGAATAAAGTTTGGAGAAAAGCTGAAAGAGACACTCAACTTGTTGATAAATGACTAAATCCTAATTTACTCTCTGCAAATGTTGGACCTCAGTCCCAGCTTTCATTTCACTGGTGCCCAGTTTGTACATGTATCTGGAAGATGGAGTTACTCCACTCATATTCTGACACATAACCCTTACAGAGCCCAGTGTCAGGCCTGCACCCCGCTCTCACTCATGTGACAGATCACTGCAGCAAGTGTGCCGTTGGTAATGGACCGGTTCTTACGCAACCCTTTGCTACTGTACCTGAGCACTCTGTGCGCTTTATACAACGTAACCTCATCCACCCAAACACTTTTTCTCTCTAACATTCGTACTGTGATGGATGCATCGGGCACAACTCGGGCTCAGTATCCTGCCCCAGGATGTTTGACCTGAGCAGCCAGGGATTGAACCACCGACTCTCTGGTTAGTAGTTGACCTCCTGCTCGAGCTCCCGAGCTACAGCTGCCCGTTTGTGTAAAATGATCCATTGTTGTTGTTCTTTGGTCGCACATCAGTTACAGAGTTCTTATTGCAAACTAAATTCCATCTCAGTCCCAGGATCAGTAATGTTTACCATTGGTTAAAGTGACAGCACTCGTCGTTCAGATGGAGAACTTTTGGCATGAGAGTGAAACTAGTGAGAAGAACCAATCGTTCAATGTTATTACGAACAGACTCTTCGCCTGTTCCAGGCCCATCTTCGCTGTGCTCTGGATAGGAAACGGTGAAAGTTGGTGACATAACTGTCACTGGGCTTTTACATGAGCAGCTCTCAACGCTGCAGCAGTGATGTGCAGTTTCCAAAGTGTCAGGAAATGTTATTCTTCCAACATAGTTGTGGAGTTGAGACGGGTTGAAAACTGCGGTGCTGTCAAATGAACAGAACTAAGCATCTGATGGTGTTAATCCACTTTTATCTATTTATCATGCAAGTGTGTGTTTTCACAAACCATTTGAAGTATTTTCATGACGACGTCGATGGTTTTGCTCCGGACTAAACCTCTAAACCTGCCCAAACCCAATCTGTCTTACACAGGTTGGACAGTTGCTTCATCACAGTTAGTTTGAGACCTAACAACAGCTGTCACAACCAGTGTTAGATTGTGGTTGGCTGCCTACAGACAGCAGGCAGAAAGCTCGTTTTCCCATAAACGTAACTTTTTCTTCTTCTTTCTTTTTTGCTTATCTTGCCTTAGTGGACCATCACAGTGGATTTGAAATCAAGGTGTTATTGAAACGCAGACTTTGTTTTAATTCAAAGGGTTTAAACAAAAATATTGCATCACCTGTTGAATCTTTTTTACATCTTTCAGAGGCTCAAAAGTATTTGGACAGACTGCTGTAATTTTAAATGTACGGATTATTTTTAATACTTCACTGAAATCCTGTGCTGTCAAAGACTGCCCGAAGTCTCGAACCCACGGACATCACCAGCTGTTTCCTCCATCGTGATACTCTGCCAGGCCGTTATTCCATTTACTCCAGCTGCTTTCAGCTGCTTTTTGTGTGTGTTTGCCTTCAGATTTGCCTCAATACTCAATGTCCCATTTCTTTGTCTCAGAAAAGCTCTAGGGTTGCTCATGCAGTATGTTTGGGACATTGTCCATGTGCACTGAGGTGTCATCCAGTCAGTTTTGGAGCATTTGGCTAAATCTGAGCAGAGAGATCCTGTACACTGCAGAATTCATCCTGATGCTTCTGTCACGTCACCAATAAGTTGTTTTCAGGCATACATACGTATGCCTCAACACTGCCTCCACCTGCTCTTTTAGATATTCTTTGTAAATGTCTCATCTGTCCTGGTTGATGGAGCGTAACCACCTTCATGCTGAGAGTCCCCATGATCAGCTGAGTACAAGTTCAACATTCACCATTAATTCCACATCTGTTTTCTCCTTTGTCAGGGAACAATGAGGGAGTCTGACCACGAATCTGCTTGTCTGTCAGTTGTCCAGTTACTTTTGACCCTTGAAGAATCAGTCAGTCAACAGTCAATGCAACACTTCTGTCAATTAAACCAGAAAGTCTGGTTTTGTCACATGTTGATTTGGTTTCAAGTCCACTGTCGTTGTGTGAAAGGCAAAATTTCATGGTCCAAAAACCTCTGGAAATAACTGTATGATGGTGGTGTTGAAGGTTTGGGAGGGAACATGAGCAATCTTCATAACTGTAATGAGGCTGTGCAGACAGCAGGTTATATGACACATCATTCAGACTGCAGTCGAACCCTCTCATAATCTACGCAAGGAGAACGTGTTCAGGTCAAGTCTTTGGTGTTGTTGGTGACAACACTCGGCTATTTCGAGCAGTGTTCAGTTACTGTGCAGTATTATTCACAGCACACTGGGCCTCCAGGAGTCTGACGCATGCAGATTACTGATGATGATCTGCGACAGCATCCCGGCAGATTCAGATTATTGATAGAGACCTTGGACTAACGTGTAGTGAAACATGGCTGACCTGTTGCAAAGGACTCCGCATGACCTGACACGACCTCTGGCCGCCATGTTGGATTTCTTCAGCTCTTGGGTACCAGCTGATGTTTCTCACAGAAACGTTTACCTCTGTTTGTGTACGGTGTTTGAATGTCACAGATTAGTTGTTTCTCTGATCCTTTGGTTTATGACTGAGCAGCTGCACAACTACACTCAGTTCATTGAAAAGTGTTTGCTAATGCACATGAACTGCTCCTTTTTAAAAATGA